TTCAAACAAAATAGAGAGAATAATGGGTAGGTGGGCAATAGCAGTACACGGTGGTGCTGGAATCGACCCAAATCTTCCCGCCGAGAGACAAGAACAGGCCAAACAGCTTTTGACTCGTTGTCTCAATCTCGGCATAGCAGCTTTATCTTCCAATGTCTCCGCCATTGACGTCGTTGAGCTCGTCGTACGTTCTCTCTTCTCTCACAATCATTAATTATTTGGTTTGTGTTTGATTTCAATTTGTTTTTTTTAACGATTGATGAACACAGGTGAGAGAATTGGAGACGGATCCTCTGTTTAATTCAGGCCGTGGATCTGCTTTGACGGAGAAAGGAACGGTGGAGATGGAAGCTAGCATTATGGACGGTACGAAGAGACGATGCGGTGCCGTTTCAGGGATCACCACCGTGAAAAACCCAATCTCGCTTGCTCGTCTCGTTATGGACAAATCTCCCCACTCTTACCTTGCTTTCTCAGGCGCCGAGGATTTCGCTCGCAAACAGGTAAATATATATTTACTCTTTTACCCTCCTCCACTTTTCATTCTTAACCACTCGGTTTCATTGGTTTTTTACGTTTTAGGGAGTTGATATTGTGGACAACGAGTACTTCGTCACGGACGATAACGTTGGGATGCTTAAGTTGGCCAAGGAAGCTAACTCAATCTTGGTAATAAGATTTGACTTAATCTCCATCGTCCATTTATTCATCGCACGTTTTTTTAATTGTGTACTCAACTTCTTCTTTTTTTGGTTTTTTTCTCCAGTTTGATTATCGGATTCCGCCGATGGGATGCGCTGGAGCAGCCGCAACCGACAGTCCAATCGTTATGAACGGACTTCCGATCAGCATTTACGCGCCGGAGACAGTCGGATGCGTAGTGGTGGACAAGGAAGGACGGTGCGCCGCCGGAACATCAACCGGTGGTCTGATGAACAAGATGATGGGTAGGATCGGAGACTCGCCGCTTATAGGAGCAGGCACGTACGCGTCGGAGCTTTGTGGGGTTTCGTGTACCGGAGAAGGAGAAGCCATCATAAGGTCGACGCTAGCTCGTGACGTGTCGGCTGTTATGGAGTATAAAGGACTTGGGCTTCAAGAAGCGGTTGATTACGTCATCAAGCATCGGCTCGACGAAGGGTTCGCTGGACTCATCGCTGTGTCAAATAAAGGAGAAGTGGTTTGTGGTTTTAACTCTAATGGGATGTTCAGGGGATGTGCAACAGAGGATGGGTACATGGAGGTTGCTATGTGGGAGTGAGTAAGAGAGAGAGATGTATTAGTGTGGTCTTAATCAATCGTTAGACTATTGGTTTGGTTATTATTCATCATAGTAAATTTAGGGTATTTGGTTATCTTCCCAGTCCAGTATTCATGTGTTTAATTATTGTGCTTCTTGATTTGTCATTTACCGTTTTAAGAGTTTATTCATCTGTCTCTGGCTCATGGTTAGGTACCTGTCACAAAATTGCAACTAAAATGGAAAATGATTGCATATATTTATTTATAGAAGAGATTATTAATCAAAGAGAATGGAAAAAAAAAAAACTAACCTCTTGTGAATCCAATCTCTTTGAATTTCAGAAGATAGTCTCTGAAAGTTTCAAGCACTGCCCTTTCCTGCTCCATGTATACATCTGTCCCTTTACACTGGGAATCCTCCACTCCATTGTATTGTGCATCTATCAGTTCGATCAATCTTCCACATGATTCTATTTCTTCTTCCACATTACGGCTCAGAGACTCGTCCGATTGCTCAATGTCCATGTTGTCTTGCTTAGCATCATCAGGATTTATACATATCCCGTTCTGGTCTTCTAAGCCTGTTTGCAGCTCTATCACTGGGGCGTTGAGTGCTAATAGTCGCAAGATTTTAAACTAAGCAAGACAGAATGGTAGATCTAATACAGTTGAGATTTAGTAAAGAGAATTGATACCTGCATTGGCTGTAGCAGATTCAGATGGTGCTACGAGAAGTGAACATATATCTCCCAAGTCGGGAAGAAGTGTGGTGGTATATCGCAACCACGACCTTTTCTTTCTGACGTTACATGAATTCCAGTAAAATATCTTGACTATAAGGTGAAGGAAGTGGAAATATACATTAGGAAATGCGAAAAGCAAACCTGTAAGGAAGCTTAGGAGAGCTAGACATAGGAGAATGCAGAGCTTTTAGAATGGAATTGTCAGTTATCGAACTTCGAAGAGCTGGACGAGAATTCCACTGCTATTCCAGGCAGAGAGAAAATGAGTCCTAATGGATATAAATCCTAAAAGTGCATAATGTTCAGGTAGCTCTTGGTATCTTCTCCTCTGGTATACCTGTAGGGAACTGTGAGCAGAAAATCCAGGAGTATTATTCATAACACCAGCAGTAATGTGGCTGTAAAAGCTGACACTGTCTCTGTTAGTAGAAATGATTCCTTGAGCATTGACATTGTAACTGTTCTCGGGCTTCGCGTAACTTTCGAAACGCTTCCTGTTGTGTAGTCCCCAGGAAAAAAAAGAAGGCTGGAACCTCTCACTGACATTCTCGCAGTTGATGCATTTGCAATTGTCTGAGCACAGGGCATTAGCCTGAAAGCATTCACAGTACTTCTTCAAACACTTGGTTCTTTTGCATTTGCAGCCTTTCGAACGCAATCCAAGTTTCGTAACAGGTGCAGCCTCATACTACAATACAATGCCCAGACCATTCCAGTTACTTACAAATCATAAAATATGTGAGATACCTCTTTGAAGATTAACCTACTGCAAGTAAATGTTCTTTTCTTCAGTCTCACAAAGTGATAGGTTTGAAGAACATACCCGCTTGTCTATTGGGATGCTGATAGGTTTTCCATCGTAGGCATTTGGATTGCGATCTAACACATTCGCCAAAGCTGCTTCTCTGACATCACAGTTCTCAGAGTTGTTATGGCAATCAACACAATCGCAGTCGATACATAACACTCCTGATGCAAAGCAGTCACAGTACCTAATAATAACCAAAGGGGACGTATTGTCAAACAAATATCCAATAACGCATCAATTCAACAGATGAAACTAAGAAAACTCTCTCTCAGATTGTTGCATTCGACATTCGGATCAGGCTTAACACAATACTAAATTCCTGGATACTAAAGAGATTCCTGAAATATTAATCTTACAATTTTAAACATTTGGACTGCCTACAGCGACATCCTTTCTGCTTTCTCCAAGTAGTGCCTTCCTGATCTGTATTATCCTTTGTTTCTGAAGCATATCTGCTTCAAATGAGAGACCAATAGATAAAGAGATCTGGCATCTTCTGGAACGAAATTACTCAAACAAGAAGACGAAAAAATGGAACAATACCGAGAAATCGGAGGAAAAAGAGGAAGTTCTCTGATAGGCGACTCCGAGACGACGGGAGATAAATCTAATTTGGTGAAAACAAGCTCTCTAGGGTTCTTCTCTGTCGCGATCTCGCCGGAAACTACGTTACCTATCATGTCGCCGAACAAGTTATTCCCTCGATTTGACGTACCGATTTGAGCATGATCGGTGATAAATCCTCAGAAGAGCGTCGATTCATAGATCGGATCGAAGTGTATGCAGAGAATCGCCATGATTTGCAGATATGAGAACGAAATAGATTGCTGGATCCTAATCGGGGACGATGATTGTCTCTCGCGTCGTGGGAATCTAGGGTTTACCCAGAAACGAAACGGTTTTCTGAGAAGAAGGAGAATACGAGATTTCAAAATCGAGAGAGTGAGAGTGATCTTGGAGGGAACAAGAGGAGGGAAAAAATATTTTTATTTGCTTCTTTTTTCCCTTTTTTTGGGATGATCGAATCTAATTTTCATGAATATAGTTGGATTTTGCGGAATCTAATTTCATGAAAATAAAAACGTTTTAATATTCCATGAACCATGATGGTTTTTTTTTTTTATATTTGC